GGTAGAGTGCGTCCTGGTTGGGGTAGAGTGGGGCAGTCGGGGCTAGTTGAGGTTAGAGCGGGGCAGTGGTGGCTGGTTGGGGTAGAGTGGGGCAGTGGAGGCTGGTTGGGTAGAGTGGGGGCTGGTTGGGGTAGAGTAGGGGCTGGTTGGGGTAGAGTGGGGGCTGGTTGGGGTTAGAGCGGGGCAGTGGGGGCTGGTTGGCGTAGAGTGGGGCAGTGGGAGCTAGTTGGGATAGTGTGGGAGCTGGTTGGGGTAAAGTGGGGGCCGGTTGGGGTAGAGTGGGGGCTGGTTGGGGTAGTGTGGGAGCTGGTTGGGGTAAAGTGGGGGCCGGTTGGGGTAGAGTGGGGGCTGGTTGAGGTAGAGTGGGGGCTAGTTGGTGTAGAGTTGGGCAGTGGGGGCTGGTTGGGGTAGAGTGGGGCAGTGGGGCTGGTTGGGGTAGAGTGGGGCAGTGGGGGCTATTTGGGGTGGAGTGGGGGCTGGTTGGGGTAGAGTGGGGGCTGGTTGGGGTAGAGTGGGGGCCGGTTGAGGTAGAGTGGGGGCTAGTTGGTGTAGAGTTGGGCAGTGGGGGCTGGTTGGGGTTAGAGCGGGGCAGTGGGGGCTGGTTGGGGTAGAGTGGGGCAGTGGGGGCTAGTTGGGGTAGAGTGGGGGCTAGTTGGGATAGAGTGGGGTCTCGTTGGGGTAGAGTGGTGTCTGGTTGGGGTAGAGTGGGGGCTGGTTGGGGTATAGTGTGGGCTGTTGGGGTAGAGTGGGGGCTAGTTGGGTAGAGTGGGGGCTGGTTGGTGTAGAGTGGGACAGTGGAGCCTGGTTGGGGTAGAGTGGGGGCTAATTGGGGTAGAGTGGGGCAGTGGGGCTTATTGGGGTAGAGTGGGGCAGTGGGGGGTTGGGTAGAGTGGGCAGTGGGGGCCGGTTGGGGTAGAGTGGGGCAGTGGGGGCCGGTTGGGGTAGAGTGGGGCGGTGGGGGCCGGTTGGGTAAGAGTGGGGCTGTGGGGCGGTTGGGGTAGAGTGGGGCAGTGGGGCGGGTTGGGGTAGAGTGGGGCGGGGGGGCCGGTTGGGTAGAGTGGGGCGGTGGGGCCGGTTGGGGTAGAGTGGGGCGGTGGGGCCGGTTGGGGTAGAGTGGGGCGGTGGGGCGGTTGGGGTAGAGTGGGGCGGTGGGGCCGGTTGGGGTAGAGTGGGGCGGTGGGGCCGGTTGGGGTAGAGTGGGGCGGTGGGGCCGGTTGGGGTAGAGTGGGGCGGTGGGGGCCGTTGGGGTAGAGTGGGCGGTGGGGGCCGGTTGGGTAGAGTGGGGCGGTGGGGGCCGGTTGGGTAGAGTGGGGCGGTGGGGGCGGTTGGGGTAGAGTGGGGCGGTGGGGCCGGTTGGGGTAGAGTGGGGCAGTGTGGGCCGGTTGGGGTAGAGTGGGGGTGGGGGCCGGTTGGGGTAGAGTGGGGCGGTGGGGCCGGTTGGGGTAGAGTGGGGCGGTGGGGGCCGGTTGGGGTAGAGTGGGGCGGTGGGGGCCGGTTGGGTAGAGTGGGGCGGTGGGGGCCGGTTGGGTAGAGTGGGGCTGTGGGGCGATTGGGGTAGAGTGGGGCGGTGGGGCCGGTTGGGGTAGAGTGGGGCGGTGGGGGCCGATTGGGGTAGAGTGGGGCAGTGGGGGCTGGTTGGGGTAGAGTGGGGCAGTGGGGGCTGGTTGGGGTTAGAGTGGGGCAGTGGGGGCTGGTTGGGGTAGAGTGGGGCAGTGGGGGCTGGTTGGGGTAGAGTGGGGCAGTGGGGCCGGTTGGGTAGAGTGGGGCGGTGGGGGCCGGTTGGGTAGAGTGGGGCGGTGGGGGCCGGTTGGGGTAGAGTGGGGCGGTGGGGGCCGGTTGGGTAGAGTGGGGCGGTGGGGCCGGTTGGGGTAGAGTGGGGCGGTGGGGGCCGGTTGGGGTAGAGTGGGGCGGTGGGGGCCGGTTGGGGTAGAGTGGGGCGGTGGGGGCCGGTTGGGGTAGAGTGGGGCGGTGGGGGCCGGTTGGGGTAGAGTGGGGCGGTGGGGGCCGGTTGGTCGGCACAGGGCCGCGATGGGCCACATGTCCTCCTGTGCTGTGGTGTCCTGTAGTTCAGTGGTTACAACACTCGCCTTTTCACGTGTGACATCTGCGTTCAGTTCCCGGTCAGAGGGCCACACATTGGGCTCGTTATCGTACTCCGCACACGCACACACACACGTACACACACGCACACACACGCACACACACACACACACGCACACACACACACACACGCACACACACACGCACACACACACACACACGCACACACACACGCACACACACACACACACGCACACACACACGTACACACACGCACACACACGACACACACGCACACACACACACACACACACACACGCACACACACACACACGCACACACACACACACACACACACACACGCACACACACACGCGCACACACACACACACACACGCACACACACACACGCACACACACGCGCACACACACGCGCACACACACACGCACACACACGCACACACACGCGCACACACACGCGCACGCGCACACACACAGACACACGCGCACAGACACACGCACACACGCACACACACACGCACACAGACACACGCACACACGCACACACACACGCACACACACACGCACACACACGCACACACACACGCACACACGCGCACACATACACAGACACACACACGCACACACGCGCACACACACGTACACAGACACACGCGCACACACACACGCACACACACACGCGCACAGACATACACACACGCGCACAGACACACACGCACACGCACACACACGCGCACAGACACACGCACACAGACACGCGCGCACACACACGCGCGCACACACACGCGCACACACACGCGCACAGACACACGCGCACAGACACACGCGCACAGACACACGCGCACAGACACACGCGCACAGACACACATACAGAGGCACACACACAGACGCGTGCACACAAAGTCACACACACACACGCAGACACATGCACACAGACAAATGCACACACATACACGCGCGCAGACACACGCAGACACACACGCACACGTGCCTGTGTTTCCCGGCAGTCAATGGGAACCCACTGGTCAATCGATTGGGGGTCATAATTCCTTCAAAACAATAACAACAACAATTTGGTCAGTCGAACCCTCGGCTGTTTGTGGGGACATC